ATATAATTTAACCAAGTTTTACTTTTACCATTTAGACGTCTGTCTAAACTCTTGATTTCATCCAGCAACCTTAGTTAATACATTTAATTCATTTATACAGTATTATCATTTTAATTAATATGATCAAAAAAAAATCATAATAAGGAAATATTTGTTTCAAATAATTTTCTTAATACAATAATTTTGATATGTATTATCATATTAATTAATGTGATCGAAAAAAAAAATTAATAATCTTAAACAAGATTTGAATTATAATAAAAGAACTTAGAAAATAAAGGTATTATTTGAAAATGTATGATATGACTCAATAAATTTGTTCAAAAAAATCTTTCACTGTCTTCTCTGTCTTCTCTTACTTAAACTTCTCTAAACATAAATTTAATAATATCAAAATATGGCTGGAATGGTTTGGACTTTTGATGTCACGGAAGATTTAATAAATCTTTATAATGAATATCGTGAAAAATTCAAAAATACTTTGAACACTGAGTACGCTATTATCTGGGATAGGATAGCAACTAAAATAAACAATCATCATCCAGCTCAAACTCTAGAAGAATAAGGGTTAGAAATCCTGAAGGATTTCCAATAAGAAGTCTAAATCAATTTAATGTGGCATTTTACTATATGATGAGAGATGAATTTTGGTTGCCTCAAGGTATTAATGATAGTCTAATTTAAATTCATTGTTTGTTTTAAATAAATATATATTTATATTTATTTACTTTTAGATGAAATAAGATGCGCATATTTGAAGCAATGAATCTATAAGTATCGATTCGAATTTAGAGAATGCAGGTGTTCTCAGAATCGATCAAGAAGCAGAGTAGAGAACATAGGCATTTTCAGGATCGATCAAGAAGTAGGAATTGATTTTAAGAGAGAGATAGAAGAAGGGATCGATCTCAAAGGAGGAATAGAAGAAGAAGAAGGAGAAATTAGTTTTAGTATTTGTATTAGTTTTATTTTTATTTTTATTTTTAGTTTTAATTTTAGTTTTATTATATTTTTTTATATTTTTTTATTGCATATAATTAATTGAGTAGCGAGGCCCAGTTTATACCAAAAATCGGCTGGAAACTTATCTTTTTAGGCTGTAAATTGGCATTGACATTCTTGTCATACAGCCTAGGTGATTTTTTAAAAAAGTAGTAGCAAACAACTTTACAGAATTTTTTAAAATCAAAACTTTATCGTGTCCAAGTCGAAAATTTATTGTAGACCTTTTAACTAAGACCTGGTTATGAAATGATTTTACAATGTCAAGATAAGGTTAAGTAAATCGTACAAATAAAGTTAATGCATATTAAGGAAATCAACACCTGATTTAGGCGAGGATCATATGAAAGTGATATTGAAAAATATTAATATATAGTGAATTTATAGTAAATAGATAGTAAATATATAGTAAATATATAGCAAATTAATAGTAAATATGAAGTAAATAGATAGTAAATTTATATTAAATGTATTAGTAAAGCTTTATTTTTGAAATTGCAAATAAATCATAAAGTATTTGATAAAATCCATTTAAGATACATAAAATGTTCTATTTTATTTTATTTTATTCTAAATCTAATCTAACCTAATTACGCAAAACCAATAAAACTAAACTAAAATTAAACTGTTTTAAAAATCCTATAAATGTAAAGTGTTCTATAAAATAAAACATTTGATTAATAAACTATACTAAATGGCTTTGAAAAAATATAAGTTTCACATATACAAATCGTTTCTAGAATCATGATTTTCTCTAATACATTCTTCGACTTTACAATTAAAAACGAAATGTGTAGTATTATTTGCATTTACTAAACTAATAGAGAAAACCCTTCGAAAATTAGTATTTATCATTTGTAACTTTTATACCAGACAACTTAGCTTTGTTCGATTTGATTTCTTGAACTAATCAATAATAACAAATGTGGATTGAAAGCCATTCTTCTTAGAAACTATTTTGAAACCTTTAAAATGACTTTTTTTTAAATCTAAAACTTGATGAAACTTAATTGAGTTTAGAAAAACCTATTAGAAGTTTAGGTAAAGATATTTATTATATAAACAGATAATTTTTTCTCAAATATCTCGAAACTCAAATTTTTTAAAAATAGTTTAGGAAGGCATCTTTAGCATATGGAAGGTGGTCAGTAAAAAAAGGGAAAATCCAAAACTTTTGTTAATTTTTATTATTAAGCCAAATTTGTACATATAATCAAGATTATCCAAGTAGTCTAATAATATAAATTTTGACCAAAATTTAGATTTTCCCATTTTCTACTGAACGCCTCTCATATAGCATGACAGTATATATAAGAAACTGTATAAAATTATATAGAAATTTATAAATAAAATAAAAAATGTAATTTGTATATCTTGAAAATAAAATAAAATATATAAAGCTTCTTTAGTTTTTAATTCAATCACTAGTATGAATATGTAATAAATATATTAAATAATACTCTAAAACAATTGATCTAATAATATCCTGAAGTAATCAAAGGTAGAAATTATATAGAAATAAGACATAAAAGCTAAAAATATGTGAATATAAAGTAACCTACTCAAGTAAATTATATATAGGAAAGCAAAGAGAAATTATACTTGAATAATATACTAGTAATAAATAGGAAAAAGTTATAAAAGTAGAAAGATTCAGGAGAATATAAGAAAAAAAGAGTATAAAAGTTGTGAAATCTGAATCAATTCAGTATTTAGTGTTTTATCCTTAGTAATTAAATAGACTATAAAAGGCAAGATTGTAAGAATATTATAATATTAGCACCTTATATTTTATCTGACAATTAAAAGATAGTAAATATATTGCGATACATTTTTGACAAATAGCAGGATTATGAATTTAGTATTTTATGCTTTAATTTAGCATTCAAATAAGTCAAACATAGTGGAATTGTAAGGATGATACATTTTTGATAATTAAGAAATAGTAATTAAGAGGAAAAATATATAGATTACAAGTTTAACATTGCATATTTCAACTAATAAAATATAAAGATAGTATTATAAGCAAGTTTATCACTAATTCTTGGTGAGTCAAATACATAAGCAGACCTTAGTACTTCTGATTTTTCAACTATCTAATGCTTTAAAGATCAATCAGAATTATACTATAGTGTTAGCTAAAATTAACTGAAATTGAATAATGAATTTATTGTGTCACTTGACATTTTTTATGACAATTAAAAGAAAATGAAAGGAGTTAATACACAGACCTTTTCTTGGCAATAAAAAAAAATAGAAGAAAATTAATGTAAAATTAACTATTTGAAAAGCAAATAGCTATAGGCAGTTATGAAATCATATTAACAATAAAATAGCTACAGAATACAACTAATGCAAATTATAGTATTTATAGATTCACAAATAATAATAAAAAAGTTACATTTAGGTTATATAATTATAGTTATATTTAGGTTATTTAATCACATCATAAAAAGATAACATATAAGAGGAAAGTAAAGAAAAACCATTTTAAAAGTAAGGAGAATAATAAGTGTTATGTAAATAAATAGGTATAAAAAAGTCACCACAATTAGGTTATGAAAATAAGTTATTTAGTTATTATTAGGTTATTATATGACAAAATAACCTTACCAATTATTTAACAATACTTAGTTACAATTAAGTTATTTAGTAATACTTAAGTTATTTAGTTATAATTACTTTATTTAATCACTATTAGATTAATTAGTCATAATTAGGTTATTATATTACTAAATAACCTAGTCTAAGCCGTTTAATTACTAAATAACATAATTATGTTATTTAGTAATAAATGGCTAATTATATTATATATATTAATTATAAAGAGATAAAGAAAAATATTAGTATACAGTATATTATATTATAAAACCATATATAATATGTATAAAAAGTTTTTTTACAAATTGTAAAATGAAATATGAAAAATTTATCAGTACATGTAATTATCATATGTATTATATCTACTCTTTTACATGCTTAATTGACATAATTCTATAAATTAATAATTTTATAAATAATAGTAGATTTGACAAATATTGTAACTGATTCATGCCATTAAATTTCTTACCGATATTGAACTATTAAATTGTATTTTTATTTATTGAATTAGGAGTCAAAAAAAAATCATGTAATCACATCAGTCATGTAAAAAACTTTATCGTTCAAAATCAATAGTTCGGTTTTTTATATCAAAATTCTGTCATGACTTACACAAATGATGAGTGATAGAATCATTAAACGAATAAAATAAATCTATTATTATGAACAATAAAATGTAAACGATAGTAAAATGAATTTTAAAGATTATTTACAGTACATCAACAACGTAATTAACTAAACTCCAACAAATTGTCTCATCTTTTCTTCATTAAAAATATTAAATCCAATTCCGAAATAAATCATTCGATTTAATAAGAATAAATTTGTAATGAAACAAATGAACATTATCGTAATAAAGAAATAAAATCTCATTAATTTTGTCCAACTTTTTAAAAATAGTGAAGAAAAATTATTTATAACCCAATAACGATGTAATTTTATTGCTATTTCTATATATTGTTAAAAAAAATAAAAGTTAGATTAAACAGCGATATTATTGAAGAATAGAATTAACCAATTCTTACCTTTGAAATGATGCAGATAATAATTATTAGATTCAAATTTAGGTATCTTATCATCCTTTTCATGATTTTTCAAATTTAATTTTTTTAAATCGAGTTCATTTATAAATAATTTTGTTGGTTTTAATGCTGAAATTTTCGTTTGCTTGCTTGTTGATCCGAAAATTTCTTGATATTTAAATTTCAAGTGGTCATATTGTTCGGACTTAAAGTGGTCCTTATCATTATTTGGAATTTTCAGAACACCGTATATATAAATCGGGACAAATTTTTTTGCAGAAGTAAGTTTAGATCGATAAGGATCTAAAAGAGGATTTAAAATGTTATTCATGGAGTTATTCCAAGAATTCATCCACCATTCATTTAATTTTTTATGGATATCTCCAACAGTAGGACGATTACTTGGATTATGATCCCAGCATTCGCTAATTAATAATTCTAACGAATAAGGTAATTGAGCATTTGTAAATAATTCGGGTTTTTCAATTTTAAAAGGAAGTCCCTCTTTCCTTTTTAAATTATAAAATGGTTTTTGTAACGAAATTTCCCAAAATATCAACCCCAAACAATAAACATCAGATTCTTTCGTATATGGTTTTCCATCAATTATTTCTGGTGGTAGAAAATTTACTAATCCATAATTATTAGACCAACCCTTAAATTTCGTTAAATACTTTGGATTTAACTCGTTTGGTGGATGGGTCAATCCCAAATCACTTATGTACGATTTATAGTCCGTGCTACGTAATATATTATTTGTATGTAAATTTTCATGAATCAATCCCTTATTATGAAGTTGTAATAACGTTGTTGAAATGTCCATTAATATTTCCAACTTTTCCAACCATAGCGATTTTGCTTGTAATTTACTTTCATTCAAATATGTCTGAACGTTTATATCCACGTATTGACTTATTATTGCGTAATCTTTAGTCGTTGCATCTTGTGTTATTCCGTAATGTCGAATCAATCCCGTAACGTTATAATTTTGAGCAGAGAAGATCTATATAATTGAAGGAAAAAATGAATTTTTTTTTTTTTTTGTTAAAATAAGAAAATGTTTCGTGATATAAAGTATATACCTGGTTTAACAAGTCCAATTTTATACTTTTAGAATTATTTAAAATTTTAACGGCGACGACGCAATTTTCATCACATCTTCTCCAACATTTTCCCTTACAATCCCAATATCCGATATATCCATCTTTCCAAATCGCCTTGTAAACCGTACCAAATCTACCTTTTCCTACATGCTCTTGAATTTTCAATCTATTTTTTGGGATCCACTCTATTATTTCCTGACTTGATGAAGAACTTAATTGTATCCTTTGAATTAATTGGTCAACGTTCTTATTTCCGCTCGTCCAACTACCAAAATCACTTTGAAAATGTTTAGAATTACATGGCTTACACCAATCATAGGTGGATCTTGATTGGTAACATTCTTGACAATTATCGAATAACATCATTTTTTTTTTTAATTATTATTGTTATTGTTATTGATAATTATTATAATTAAAGCTTTGCTTTTTTAAGTTCGTTTCTTTTGTAAAAGAAAAGAAAGAAAAAAAAATAATTTCAAATGAGGGAATACTATATATAAATTTTTTTTCATTGTCGGTGGCTATTTTTAAAATTGTTTGTGGCATGGAATTCTATTCTTAATTTAGATCTACCTCGGAAATTCTTTGACCGGATATTTATGAAACCTGTTAATGATGGAATAAACTTTGTTTGGAGTTTATTGTACTGTATGTGAGAAGAAATTCCGGTAAACTCATTGAGTAAATGATCCAAAGAACAAATTTATTCAACCACAAAAAGCAAAAAGGTTATATTATTGTATTAAACTAGTTTGGGCTGAGTCGTTAATTCTTTCTACACTTCCACAGCATTCTTAGATTGGTTGACTAGAAAAAAAAGAACAAATAATAATATTTAAAATTGGTAAAGTGGGTAGTGGATTTGATTCTATTATTTCCTGACCCTAAAAATAAATGGCTGCGGTTCGAAGCGATCGAACCCGAAAATAAAAAAAAAAACTGGAGAAGTACCTGATCGACGCCCTATCAAAGCTAAAAGTAGAAGTGCAAAAATCAATTAATGTAGTTGATCTTATCAGATTTAGGTAGCGGGGAAAAAAAATTTATTTCCCAAAGCAACAGATGCAAGCATTTAAAAATATACGTTATGTGCGGTCGAATTTAAATTAATAATTTAAATTTTTTCTTTTTCAAACAACGATTCGTAATAGTATATTGCGAAGCATAAAGCACATATGCATATGCATAACCTAGCTGTTAGAAACGCCTAAACCTAATTTAGCTACTAATTTAACCAAAAATTGATTTATTCAAAACATACATAACTTTCTTACAGGACAGGTTGTACAAACATTATGTTCATTATTACCAAAAGACCGCCAACCTATATACAATTGTTCCTAACTTCGTATACAAAATCCCCTTCGTCCCAACTTGTTGTAATACGATATATTTCTAAAGGCCAACGTCTTTATATTGTTTTATTTAAAAATGTAATACCAATCTTGCATTTGAAATTTCTTTGATTGATCGAGTTAAATTTGATCTTTTGTGCGAGCGTACAATTTTCTTTATTCATTTCCTTTAAGAGTTAAAAAATCACAAAACAATCTTTTTTATTTTGTCTCACTAAACTTTGTCATACATATATTAAAAATTGATGCTTATCTGTTATAAAATCATTTCAGATTTATGGTTAGATCGAAATCACAAAGTACTTAAGTATATATATTCCCCCCAATCTAGTGAATTTTAAAATTTTAAATAATGGCTTTGAACGTTGGTAATTTCATTTTGAACGATTGGTCGAACATTCTTTTCGCACTTATTGTAGTTTACATTGTCAAGTATTACTTCTCATGGTATACACGGGAGAATCCAATTCCGGGACCATTTCCTTTACCTTTAATAGGAAATTTACATCAATTGGGACTAGATATGGGGAAAGGAGCGCTCAAATTACAAAAGGAGTATGGGGACATGTTTGAAATATTTTTAGGACCGACAAGAACGATATTTATAAGTAGAGCGGAACTTACGGAAAAAATTAATAATCCGACGTTAAAGAATAATGCATTCTACTTTCGCTCCCCTCCAAACCCAGGATTAAAGGAACTTCACCTGATAAATTCCGGTATCACTTTTAATAGGGATTTGACCACTTGGAAATTTAATAGACGTATATTAAACCTAACAGTGATGTCACCAAAATTCTTGAGGAAGAGCGTGGAATTCACCAATCAACTTTGCGATGACTTGGAAAAGTATTGGTCTTCGATTGATCCTAATACAAAAGTTAATTTGGCAAATTGGACTACTTGTCTCTCCGCTGATATTATCGTAACCACTGCAACCGGTACCAAGGGTTGCTCCATGGCCGATTATAATAATAGCCTACCCAATTCGGTTAAAGTCGACATTTCCGAAAAGTTTCTCAATGAATCTTTAAAATTTATTGATTCCATATATACGTTGATCTCAAGTGCACTGTTCTATTTCAGCTTTCCTCCTTTCATCAGAAAATACTTCCCTGTATTTAAACCGATGTACCATAAATATCGTGACAACGATATATGGTTAGGTGCCGAATTAGAAAGGATCGTCTGTACCAGAAAACAAAAAATTGAAAGTGCCTCTCTTGATCAACCTATAGAGAGCAACGCGTTAAATTTGTTAATCGTTTTAAATACTGAACGGGATATCAATAAGATCACTAGTATCGATTTTACAGAACCGTTGACTAACATAGAAATTTCCCGCAATTTAAAGGAAATCTTTGTCGGCGGGATGGATACGGTAAAGATTAAATGTTATAAATGAATTGAAAATTTTCATTCTAATCAACTTTTGCTCATTCCGTAGACGCGAAACGTAATGTGCTTTATCATGTATTATATTAATAAACATCCTCAAGTTAAAGATAAATTGATTAAAGAATATGAGTCGGTCTATGGGGATCTAAGCAAGAAGATAGATATAACTTACGAATCACTTGGTAAATTAGTTTATACCGAGGCCGTGATCAATGAATCCATGCGTCTTACACCGGTATTACCCGTATTCTTACGTGCCGCATCTTTTGATACCGAAATTGGTGGTTACAAGATCAAGAAAGATACGACCGTATTTACGAATTATACCGGTATTCATTATCATAAAGATCATTGGGTTGAACCCGAAAAGTTCAATCCTGATAGATTTTTAAAGGATGGTGGTCATACGATCGTTAAAAATTCTTATTTGCCTTTCGGAGGGGGTATTCGAATTTGTCCGGGAAGGCATTGGGCCATGGGAAATATGAAAATTTTATCGGCCAGAATGTTGACCAATTTTGAAATTAACCTCGCGGATCCTGAAGCTCCGTTAAAATCGTCATATCAAGGAACGCAGCATTGTGATGAATTAGGTATTTATATTAAACAAAAAGCGAAAGCTTAAATCTATTCAGTAGTATATCTCTCTTGTATCATAAATTTTAACATACAATAACATAGTAAATTGAGCGATTAAACATTCTATTACGTGTAAAATTATTTATTATTTTCAAATAAAGATCTTTTATTTATTTAAGGAAATGCGATCAAAAAAAAAAAATCCCAATGTTCACATTATTAATTTTATCGTTTAACGAAATTATTTGGCACTGAAATAGAAAACAAAAAAAAAAATATATACTTAATTAACAGAAAATTATTAATGTAAGGAGCCTGAAATGTATCGACATTATCGACATTCAACTGTGTGTAAAGCACTGAATTTCACAAAATTATAAATATTCCACTTCCAACTATTATAACAAATGGAGTTTTAAATTGTTCAGGAAGTGGTTGTCCATAAAATAGTTCACCGGAAAAATTTCCAAGAACGTCCAAAACATGACAATTTCAAGACATTTACCAGCCCGTGGATATAAAATCTCTTCAAAGAACTACTATAATGCTTACCACTGTTCCATAAGCAAAAGCGTGTCAGTCAATAATGATTGAAGGAAAAATTTTTTTTCAAATGAAAAATACCTCTTCCGAAATTTAGTTAAATATTGGCATAAATGAACAGGTAAAAAACAAAATAAAGAGGTAGGGCGGATTTGTATTGCAGGCAAAACAAATCATTTTGTCTTCAACGAATAATGAATGCTGAAATTTAAAGTTGAAATTATTAAACATCACAGTCCATCCAGAAATGCTTTAGATGATTGGCGGCTTCAGCAAAAAAATAATCCAAAGCATACAAAGCCTCCTTTCTCCAAAATAATCACACGGGGCAAGACTCGTTTTAGCAAATAGCAAAAGTCGAAACAACATGTTTCGGATTTTAATATTATTTCTTCGGTGATTTAAATTTTATTTTTTTGAAAAAAAAAAAATACATGTATATATCATTATAATAATATTCATTCTTATGCTTATTTTGATGTAAGCGTTAAATCAGTTAATTTTACAAGAAAATGATTTCAACGAAGAAGAATAAGATTATTGGATTTGTAACATATGACTCTATAAATCATCCGGTCAAATCTTAAGAGAACATAAATAAATAATTTTTTTAAAAATTTCATTGATCCTTTCTTTTATAAGAATTTTGTGTTTTAAACGCAATATTTTTAAAAAACAGAATACCGGTAATTACAAAAATCGTAATTTACTGATCATCTGATCATCTACATAATAGGGGGTTTGCCGATGCAGTAATTGTGAGACAAACACATGGAATAAGCCCTGACCAAAATAAAATATAAATATTCAAGTTATTCCCATTTTGTAACATTAAAAAATTCATTTGTTAAATATATGATGGATGTTGATACCTTCATTTGGTATCAAAAGACAGCGGAGAATGAAAATGAAATAGCTCAATATAACCTGGCACAATCATATAAGAAGGGTAGAGGAACGGAGAAAAATTTAGAGAAAGCCTTTTATTGGTACCAAAAAGCGGCAGAAAATGGGTATGAATTTGCACAAAATAATCTTGCTCTTTCATATGAAAAAGGTGAAGGAACAGAAAAGGATTTAGAAAAGGCATTTTACTGGTATGAAAAGGCAGCAGAAAATGGATTTGAGTTTGCTCAAAATAACCTTGGTTGTTTATATAAAAATGGTGAAGGGACTCAAAAGGATTTAGAGAAAGCCATTTATTGGTATCAAAGAGCGGCGGAAAATGGATACGGATTTGCACAATATAACCTTGCACTTTTGTACAAAAAAGGTGAAGGAATAGAGAAGGATTTAGAAAAGGCATTCTTTTGGTATCATAAAGCGGCAGAAAATGAACATAAAACCGCGCAATATAATCTTGGTTATTTGTATAAAAAGGGTGAAGAAACGGAAAAGGACTTGACGAAGGCCTTTTATTGGTACCGTAAAGCGGCAGAAAATGGACATAAAATTGCACAAAATAACCTGGGTTGTTTATATGAAAAAGGTGAAGGAACAAAGAAAGATTTGACAATGGCATTTCAATGGTATCAAAAGGCGGCAGAAAAAGGATATAAAGTTGCACAATATAACCTAGGGGAATGTTATGAGTTGGGGAATGGCGTCATAAAGGATGAGTTCAAAGCTTTTGATTATTATCAAAAGTCCGCCAAACAAGGAGATTTAAGTGCGAAATTTCAACTTGGATATTGCTATATAAATGGAATTGGAACAGAGGTCGATAAAGAGAAAGGTTATGAATTATATGATGAGGCCGCTGGAAAGAAAGATGGTAACGATGATAACTTAAAAAATGATTTGGACGAGGCCAATTATTGGTACCATCAAGCTGTAGATGGTAACAAGGTTGCATTATACAGATTGGGTGAACTTTACGAAATCGGAAAAGGTGTTTGTAAAAATTTGGTTAGAGCGTTTGAATTTTATAAAGAATCGGCCAATAAAGGATGTTTGGAGGCGCAATATAAGGTTGGATACTATTATGATCATGGATTGGTCGTAGATGCTGATAAAGAGAAGGCATTGGATTGGTACGAAATAGCTGCTGAAAGGGGAAGTATTGATGCACAACATAGGCTTGCATGCCAACAAGAGGTTAATCAAAGTTAAGAAAGTTTGGACTAATTTATAGTTTTTTCATTTTGATGAATGAATGTACGCTTCCAAGCGGATAGGATTTATAAATCGTGAGCTTTTTCTATTGATGTTATCAATTTTTTTTTTTTTTTTTTTTTTTTTTTTTTTGAATAATAGCAATAATTTTATCATATTCACAAATTTAATTTTGATTATTAGTATTTAAAGAAAGAGCTTTATCATATAAAAGGTGTCTCATGTATTAGATACTGGCAACCGTATCCTTTATATATAATTTGACGGTTGAATTTTTCATTAAAAATAATAGAGTAATAAAACATAAATATTACCGAATTATTAAAATCATTTCATAAAAATGATTTTCTTTTTAAAAGAATTCTCATATTTTATTGCGCCATGATGCTAGCGCGACACAGATAATACGTAACATAAAATCCTTTTACCGTACAACTGTGGGTTACAACTTAGAAGTGAGGTTCAAATATCATAATCAAAGTGAAGTATCATTTTATTTTTATTTTTTTCGTTTCTCATAATCCGAACGTGTCAATTTTTAATTTTAATTTTTTTTCATGGAATATTCTGAATTATAATTTGTAGTAGTGATTACATTTATTGTACCGGAGGATTATTTGAAATGTTGAAAGAGAGGGGAAATGGCAATTAAATCGACTTTTGTCCTATATATATGTATATATATATCTCTCTCTTTTTAAACCAGTAAAATCACAAAATGCGAAATACTTTCGTATTGACTGTTCAACATTTAAAAACATATTTTGTCACCTTCAAAACACGGCGCAATACCAAGGGCTTATTCTTTACATTACATTTATCTAAATAATAAACAGTAATAATAATAAAATACGATCAACGTCCTGATTCTTTAATACTAGATGAACTTGTTGGTGAATTGATTTTGATTAGACATCGAAATTATTGTGTATTGACTGACTACTATTATTATTTGTGCATCAGAAATTAAAACGTACAAAGAGTATGTAAAGGGCTACTAATTCATACTTTTGCTCTTGTAAATGGAGATTCAAAATTATAAGAATCAAAAGAAAATTTTATTTCTATAAATCATTACAAATATTACAAATGAATAAATAGATCATTTTGGTATTAGACAATATCACTAGTTTTATATATGCTTTGGGATTTAATTTGAGGAAAATAAAATGAAAAGGTTTCATAACTGGGTCATAATTTTTCTAATCACAGTACTATGGAAAATCAACAGACTATTAAGAGTTATTGATATAACTATCAGAGCATTATACTTAATTGCAAAGGTAAAATACAGAATCTGTACAAAAAAAAAAAAAAAAAAAGGAATGAAAAAATGCATACGTACAAATAATAAATAATTTTTTTTAAAAAAATATAATTACCTGAATAATTAATTGAGGAATATCTTGAAAAACATATTTGCTCCAATAGGAACGTTGATCAACGTTACTTGTAATTGCATTCCAATCCTTTATTAATTTGAAGGATTCCGTATCAATGAAAAGTCCAAGCGTTGTAAATATAGTTTTATCTAAAGACCCTGCACTTGTTGCTGCTTTTGCATCGACTAATTTCAACGCAAATACAAAGTTGAGGAAACCTGAGCAAACGAGGACTGTAACGCTAATAACAATAGTAAAATGTAAATATTATGTGAAAAATTAAAAATAAAAATAAAAATTGAATCTTTTTTTACCTTACAGCAAAAATTGGATAAAAATCATAACTATAGGTCGCAATAAACCATACATCAAATATAAAATCCAATGTTGCTAAAGAAATTTTAATCGCGACAAAAATACTATTTTGCTGTTCTAACTAATGGTTTGTGAAAACATAAACAATGATTAATTTATAGTTCAAGAGTAAATTGATGCGAACTAAATGGAAAAAATTAAAGATATACTTTAATGTTTTTACCTTTGAACAGCATGCATAAAAGTTTAGCAATAAAATTATTCCAAAGAAGGCTGCAAGAAGACTGACTTCAACTTTATAATTTCCAGAAACAGATTCTAAAAAATATAAAAAAATCTTAAATTTTTTTTTTTTTTTAAAAACAAAAAGAAAAATGTGAACCAGCTCGCTAATTAGTCTTACTTCTAATAACGCTTCCGAATTCTTCATCGAGCATGTTTGTTGATTCAAAACGGGATATACCCGTTATCTCTTTATTTTTAATCAGAGTATTTAAATCCCTGATAATCATCATTCCATTTAATTTAAATGGATCATCTCGCTGTCGAATCTTGATGGAAATAAGAAGTTTATTGGCGTTATCATGATTTTGAGTTTCTTGAATGGGAATGAACCGCGTTGGTTCTGTCGGAATTGTTTTTGTTAAATCTATTGACATTTGATTTAAAAATGAGGCTTTATCCTCCAGCGTTAAATTCTTGAAATAAGTAGAAGCGTCTTCTGTTAGTCCAAGAACGACATCAACGGAATCCCTGTACTCATCCAACTTAAATTCTTTTTTTTATCACAATAGCAAAATATTTTATATTAATTCATACGTATAAAATATTACAAATAATTTAATTAAATTCTTTCTTGACTTGTTACCAGTAGTGAAATTCCAATCTCCTGCTTGTAGACCTAAAGGTGCTAGCCGAGTTAGCTTATCCACAAAAAATTCGTGAGAAAGTTCCACCGTATACGTTCCGTTTGGTATATTGAAATTCGAATCAAGCATTTTGATTGTGACCGATTTATGGTCATCTCCAAGGATGCAATTTGGATGTAATCCAGAATGGCTTTGTTTCAAAACCTTTTCTGAACCCTGATATTGAAAGATCGTAATGTTTCCATTCGATAAAGCGATCTCGTTTTTGAAAAAAATCGTAATGCTTGCTTTTCTTAGAGGAATTTTAGGATCATTATTTAGAGGATCGGTGGAAATAATGTTCGGATTTTTATACGATACTAATTGAAAGATAAAAATAAAAATAAAAAAAAAATGAGAATTGAAAAATTAATATTATCATTGTATGCAAATTCGCGATCATTCAATAAATTCTTACCAAATTCAATGAAATTAGTTAAAGATTTTGATTCTATTGACCAAATTGGATCACTTGGTTTTTGATTTATAGCAGTAAGGGTATTATTTTTTAATATTCCATAGCGCCTTCCTAGAGCTGGTTTTGCTAATGGATTACCAAATGGCCAAGGTCCACGTAATTTAGCTTCCCTATCAAACATGTAACCATACAAGTCCTCAAATGTTTCATTGAGCTCATTGTATCGATGAAGAATTAAAAGATATCCTAAAAGAAATTATAAGTTAATTTTTGAGATTTAAGTTGGCAAATAAAATCGGTAATACATAAGTTTATCAAAAAATTTACCTCCATAATGCAAACTCTCCATATATATTTCGTGTACGTTAAGCGAGTTTATCTCATTCTATAATTGAAGATAAATGTAAGAATAAAGAAAAATTGCTTATTTATATTGGCATTTCACATTTGTTCTTACATTTTCGTAAGTTTGGTCAACGGTTTTTGAACTAAATAAAATATATTAATAACGAAAATATATTAATTTTTTTTTTTTTTTTTTTTTTTTAGGAAAAGAAAAAAATCCAAATTTACCCGTCAACCGTGAACGTGATTTTCGTAAGAAAATGGCTCCTTTCGGTGAGATTAGTCCTCACCACTAGGAAGCAATTATAATTCAACTCATAATAATCAATTCCACAAGCAAGTTCTCTTAGTGATAAAGCCGGAGTAGCTCCAAAATTATGCAGTAAATAGGGACCACGTTGTTCATAAGTGTTTTGAGAGATAAAGATCGCATATGTTTGTAATTGCTTATGTAACGGGTCAAGGTTGCCATCGACGGGAATATCATAGGATATTGTGGAATTTACAACAACAATTCCAAAATCTCCACCGCCTAATGTGGGAATAGTGTAGAAGAAACTTCCATATAACATATTTTCTAATTCAATGGTACCAGCTTTAAGACGGGTAATGATCCCGTATTCATTTCTATTAATAAATCAAGGTTAATTATTAATTTTCAACTTATTTTACTGCGCCACAACATTAATACTTACGGCGCGCTAAAGTGTACCCAATATATAAAGTTTGTTCCACTTAAGAAGTCTGCATAGAAAAATCCTCTTTCTGGTTGTACTCGATCGAAATGTGTTTCAATAGGGTATTGAATTATTCCATTGACAATGTAAGCTGGCCCAACATATTGATCACTATAGATATTTAAATTTTCTTTCGTTATTTTTTCATTCTTTAAATTCATTATATGCAGAATGACTTTTTATTTATTAATTACCCTATGACTTCTCCCGACCAAGTAATCAACTTGACAAAAACAGACATATTTTCTTGATCGGTATAACTTGTTCCGTTCATATAAGTAATTATTAGATAATTAGGAATCCAGCTGTATAGTCTTAAAGCATAGCTCCCTTTAATCCTGTGATATCCCATTTCAACCCTATCGATAAAAATAAAGTTTCGAATTCAATTTTTTTAAAAGTTATATATTTTTTTAAAATCAATTCCTCAAGATACCTGCAGAAATTCCACTCGGGTATATCTAATTCTTGTTGACTGATATATAATGGTGTTACTGTGCCATTTTCATATATAATCCTCAACCTTAATGCTGGCTCCCGACAACCAGTTTCAAGCTGTTTGACGACACGGATTATAATAGACTTGTCCTTGTAAGTTTCGAGTTTAACCACTTCTAATTCTGGATCAGATTCAGTGTAGACAAATTCTGCTTTGGATTGATGAATGGGCAAACATAAAATCAGAATGGATATTAGAAATAATATTATGATGATTTTTTGTAATGAATTCATTTTTTATCAATAACAATGATGATAAAAAGAATAAATTTAATGAAAAAAATTATTCGCATTAAAAAAAAAAAAAAGGGAAAAAATAACTACCTAATTTATAGAAAAAAAATTTGTCTTCAAAAAATTGAACTTTGAAAACAAATTTTTTTTTCTATCGATTATTTTGGATTTATTGACACCAAAAGAGAAATACAAAAGAGGATAATGAATTATTTCATCATCGAAACTGAACTTTAATCATTATTCCAATAATAATATGGTCGAAAATATTTTATCATTGTTTTTCCAAATCCGTTATGATTTGCGTGATATATATCAAAAGTTTTTACAATTTCGGATGAATAATGATTTACTTTCATTGGGTCAATAAATTCTGCGTATGTTTTCTGGTAAAGAGATATGGAAGGTTTGATTTCACTGATTTCTTTTTTGTTAAAATGATAATGAAATTTACGAATGTGAATGAAGTCTCTTTTCAATTTGTTTCTGAAAAGAAGGAATTTATGTAATATTACTAACGCTCACTTCCCAAAATCATGTAATAATGATTGTGTTGATCCGTCCGGACTTTTCAGCTGTTGCCATATTTGTCATCCTAATAAAAAAATTATGGGGTATAACTTTAATAAAGCGAAAATGCCAAATTAATTATGAGGGTGCTTGTTTTGTGTAGATTTCAATGGGTCTTGCACTTTAATATAAAAACATTGATAAATCTAATCTATAACTCTTCGATTTTTTTTTTGATAATAATTTTGTTTACATGTGACTTATCATATTTTCACCTAACCAATTTTAAACTGACAATAATTACCTAGAAATAATGAGTAATACGGGATAATTTTTTAAGTCACATTTAGGGATAGTAATCAATTCTAATGTAAAAATATTTTTTTAATAGAAATTTAATCATTGATTACTTATATTAAAGTTAAATTAAGAAATATACAATATATGGGGCTTCAACAATAAAAACGCACCATTAAATATAGAAAATTACTAAGTAAGATTGTTATAAAAATTGATTTTAAAGTATACTGACTGAAAATAAATTTTAATACATATAATAAAATGATAGGATTTTAAAGGATAATAATTTAACTTAATAATCCTAAAAACTTATTTATAAGTAAAATAATACAAAGACTTGTTCATATCAAATAGATAATAGTCAATATATAGAGTTCTAAATAAGTTGAGTCAATAGTTAAGTTAAGTAGAGGTTGGAACCGGTTAATTTTTGACCGGTTAATTAACCAATTAAGACGTTTATCTTGTTAACCAGTTAAAGATTTTTTTTTAACCGGTTAAAATAACTAATGTTAACTCTGGCCGAAATTTACTTTTAAAATTTTTTTACAATTACAAAATTTCGCTAGTTTTGCCCAAATTTATAGTGCCGGCCTGAGTTAAATTAAATCGATTAATTAACCGGTTAAAGAATTTTTTAACCGGTTATTAATCGGTTAAGGATTTTTGGGTCGGTTCCAACCTTTAAAGTTAAGTCAAATCTAAAAAATTTTAAACTATAACTCAACTCAGCTCAATTTATATTAGTAATAAAGATGTGATAAAAGATTGTTCTAAAGAAACAATAAAAAATATTCTAATAAAAAAATAAAATATCATTCTAAATGAATGATTAAAAGATCATTCTAAAGAATTGATAAATAAATCATTCTAAAATAATAAAAATTATGTTTTATTGTTCTATTGAACTCATTCTTTAATTGTTTTTTTATAACATATTTTATCATTCTATTAGAATAATCCTTCTATCATTCCTTTAGAATAATATTTTATCTTTCTATTAGAATTATTTTTTATTCCTTTAAAATAATGTTTTATTATTCTATTAAAATCATTTTTCTTTATTTCCTTACAATATTTTATCTATCATTACTTAGAATGAGTAATACTTTATTATTTCTTTAAATAATATTTTATATTTTATTAGAATAAAACTTTTATTATTCTTTTAGAACTATTTTTTTAAAAAATTTTTTCAACCTTTACTTAAAGAAAGCTTAACTTTAGTTTAAATATCTTAGTTAAATAGAACTTAACTTGAAAAATGAATCAAGTTAAACAAATCCAAATTTGATTTAACTTAATTTAATTTAACAAAACTTATTTTACTTAAATTTGGCTTAACCTATTTAGAATTTTAAATGTAATAGTATGAACAGATAAAATGTGACAGGACCTATATGATACAGATGATCGATAAATCTGATATGTCTGACATATATAATATATCTGATATGATCGATAAATAGGATATATTAGACAGATTAGACATATATATGATATAGAAGGCGGTTAGTAGAAAAGGGGAAAATCCAAAATTTTTGTTAATTTTTATTATTTAGCCAAATTTGTGCACATAATTGAGATTATCCAAGTGGTCCAATAATATAAATTTTGACCAAAATTTAGATTTTCTCCTTTTCTACTGACTGCCTCCCATATATTGAACATATTTGACATATATGATATATTAGTTATATCTTTTCATATATTGTATTTTATATAAATAGATAGCTTTTTAGACCATGTAAAAGTAGGATTTGACAAGTCAGTTTTCTAGGAGTTTTAGAGGCAAATAGGACTATTGTATTATATTTTATTTTAGTATTTCATTTTTTTATTTTCATTTCTTTTCTCTTGTCATCTCTTTTATTCTTTTTATTTTCTATTTCTTATTTTATTAATAAATATCTTACTTTGAAATAAAATTACTTAATACACTATGAATTATTATTTGTGAAACACTTATATAAACCTTTTATTTGAATTTCATTTTAAAAGTAAACTTATAAAGCATTAAAATTACTGTATAATTAAAAAGAAATAATACTCTGACAAGCCATCTAATAGTTGTAATTTGCAAGAATTATACTTTAATAGTAGTATTAGCTATACATGAAGTTGAAATAGATCATTTCGGATATCCGAAATGGTCGAAATAGTCGAAATCATTTCGACCATTGAAGGCTAAAGTCGCGAAATAGTCGAAATGACGTCATATCACATGATTTTTCATAT